TTCATTCTTTTTTTTTTTTAAAAGAGCCTCAAGCTATCCCCCTGGGTAGAGTGCCGTGGTACCACAGCTCATAGCAACCTCCAACTCCTGTGCTCAAGTGAAGTCTCCTGCCCCAGCCTCCCAAGCAGCTGGGACCACAGGCACCCACCACAACGCCTGGCTATCCCTTGGTTGCAGCCATCACTGTTGTTTCGGCAGGGCCCAGGCTGGATTTGAACCCGCCACCCCAGGTGCATGTAGCTGGCACCCCAGCCACCTGAGCCACAGGCACTGAGCCTGCTTCTTCCTTCTTTTTTTTTTTTTTAGACAGAGCCTCAAGCTGTCCCCCTGGGTAGAGTGCCGTGGCATAGCTCACAGCAACCTCCAACTCCTGGGCTCAAGCAAGTCTCCTGTCTCCGCCTCCCAAGTTACTGGGACCACAGGCGCCTGCCACAATGCCTGGCTATTTTTTTTTCAGTTGCAGCCATCACTGTTGCTTGGCGGGCCCGGGTTGGATTCGAACCCGCCACCTTAGCCACTTGAGCCACAGTCGCCGAGCCGCTTCTTCATTCTTAAAGAGTAGTTTTTCTGGGTAAAATATTCTTGGTTTACAGGGTTCATTTGTCTTTCAGCACAATGACCACATCATCCTACTCTTTCTTGACCTGTAAAGTTTCTGCTGAAAAATCTGCTGATAGTCTTATAGAGCCCCCTTTCATGTAACATGTCACTTTTCACTTGTTGCTTTCAAAATGATCTTTGTCTTTTAGACAAAGGAAAATCAGGACAAAGGAAAAACTTTTGACAATTTAATTATAAAGTGTCTTAGTATATGCCTCTTTGGATTCACTATTTGGAGATTTTTGAGTTTCAGAAATGTAGATGTTTTCTCCATAGATTCATGATGTTTTCAGCCATTATTCCTTTTCTTTTCTTTATTTCTTTTTTTTTGAGACAGAGTCTCAGTATATCACCCTCAGTAGATTGCTATGGCATCACAGCTCATAGCAACCTCTAACTCTTGGGCTCAAGGGAGTCTCTTGCCTCAGCCTCCCAAGTACCTGGGACTACAGGAGCCTGCCACAACACTCAGATATTTTTTGGTTGTAGTTGTCATTGTTTAGCAGGCCAAGGCTGGGTTTGAACCCACCAGCCTTGGTGTATGTGGCTGGCACTGTAACCACTGTGCTATAGGTGCCAAGCCCATTACTTCTTTAAATAAACTTTCTACCCCCTTTCTCCCTCTCTTTTCCTTCAAAAATTTCCAGGATGTATATATTAGTTTAGCCTATGGTGTCCCTCAAGTCCCATAGGCTTTCTTTACTCTTTATTATTCTTTTTATTCCTCTAACCAGATGATTTCAAATGATGTCTTTGAGTTCACTGATTCTTTCTTCTTGATTCTGCTGTTTATTCATTTCAGTCATTGTATTCCTCAGCTCCAGGATTTCTGTTTGACTCTTTTTTTAATGGTTTCTAATTTTTAATTGAACTTCTAATTTTATTCATGTATTTTTTCCTGATTTTGTTTTGTTGTTCATATGTGTTTCCTTGTAACACATTGAACTTCTTTAAGTCAATTATTTTGAATTCTTTATTCTGAATTCCTCACCATGTAGTTTATGGATCTCCATTTCTTTAGGGTCAGCTATTGATAGTTTATTAACTTCTTTGGTAGTGTCATGTGTACCTGATTCTTTGTGATCCTTATACCCTTGCATTGGTATGTGTGCATTTAAAGAAGTAGTTACCTTTTCCAATCTTCACAGACTTGTTTTGGTGAATAAAGATGTTCACTAGTTAGCTGAGTAAGAGATTCAGGACCGGTTGGCTGGTGATGTCTACAGGCAGACCTACTGTTGAGTTCCACAGGTGAAGCCACTGAGTCTGTGGGTGGATGAAACTGGATCTGGATCTGTGAGAAGATGGATCTGGAGAGCTTTGTATGTGGAAATTTGGGGTTTCATCCAGGTATACAAGCAGTCAGGGCTAGAGTTGAGTCATAGGTAACCAGGACTGAAGCTAGATCTGCCAGTGGTGTGGCAGAGCCTTTGCCAGGTGTGGCTTCCTCTAGGTCCACAGTTGGTTGGAGCTGCCCTCAGGGTTCACAGTCAAGGTTACGGTCAGCAGGTCTGTTACCAGGAGCATACATGGGTGTGGTTCCTGCTGAATCTCTGGGCAGATGATACTTCCCCTAGAAATTCAACTGAGCAAGATGGATCTCAGTCATAGGGCTGCATCCACATCCACTCAGGTCTTGTCTTTAGTCAGTGGGCCTGCTACCAAGATTTCAGGCAGGCCCTAGTTTATGCTAGGATCAAAGAAGGGTGTGGCTGGTGGCATCATAAACAAATGAGGCCGGAGCTGAGTCTACAGGGAGTGGGGTCGTTACTATACTTTTAGCCAGGACCATGATTGGTAGGTCTGCCTTTTCAAAGCAGCTTTTCCTGCTCTTAAGCTTCACTGAGGTATGGCAATCTTCTACCTGTCCCCAAAGCTCCTCAAAGGCACCTTGTCTGTGGATAGTTGCCAAGTCAGTTTTTATGTGGATGAACAAAGTCTGGGGACCTCCTATTCATTTATATTGCTGGAATTGGGGTATGGTTAAAATTTTATACAAGGTAGCCATAAAGTTTGTGTTTTATGTTTAAAGTTATGAAATTTATGGCCACCCTGTATAAAATGGCTAAGCTCTCCTTGAGAAGGTGACTTTTGAGTAGAGACCTGAGAAAGTGGGAGACTAAGCTGTGTTATATAGCACAGTATAGCCAAGCTGGTAGTATTCCTTGCATAGGTGAAGATGAACATAGGGGGAAGAATGGTAGATGAATCCAGAGAAAAGAGGTAGAGTACAGATCATAAGGGCCTTGTTAGTTTTACCAGGGACTCTGGATTTTAATGCAAGTAAAATGGCTTTACTGCAACAGAAATTCATCTGTTTTCAAGGCCTTCACTTTCCTATTTTCAGTTAAATTATATTATTTATGTTTGGTCATAATCACTGTGGTTGGTATGAAAATAAGCCTGCTAATGGGAAAGGGCAGACACAGAGGCATCAGACAGAAGGCTGTTACCATAATACTGTTAAGAAGGATGGGTCTTGACTAAAAATGGTTGTTATAAAGGAGGGAAGAAATGCTCACTTCCAATGAACTGGGTATGGGAGCAAGGATGATAGCAAGATTTTTAGTTTGAGAAGCTATCATGTGCCAGTTTTATCTATATGCAAGTATCTTCAATGTCTTTACAGAAGACCAAGGCACAGTAAGGGAGATTTACTGTGGAAATTTGATGATCTGAGAAGCATAATCCTAACCTGAGCTTTTAGCCCCAAATGCCTCCATGGTAGGCAAGAAGGCCTCTGGGTATTCATTAATCAAGAATTGTGCAAAGGAGAGCATTTCCTGTGGATGGATCTACTGGACTGATATGGTCTGATACTACCTGGATGTGCAAACTTGGACAATTATGATATATTGGAATTCATACTGGACTAAGAGCCAAGAACTCCTAGGTTCTGATCCTGGATCATCCATTAGCCAGCTTCATGCCTTCTTTAGAGTAATTCACTTACTATGATCTCATTTTTCTCATCCATATAACAGAGGCAACAATACTACTTTTTCTGCCTCTTTGAAGTGCTATGAAACATAAAGGAGAAAATGTATGTTAATGTCCTTTATGAGATAAATACATTGTAATGCACTAAATAATTTGCTGTTTAAATCTATTTGCTCCACCTGATCTACTCTCTACTCTGCTTCACCCTGCTTGTGCCTTGGAAAATTAACCTGTATGGACAATTTCAACAGATTTGGGTTCATCAGATGATGTGTCCTGGCAGGAGATGGGAAAGCAAGAAAGTGAGCTTGGGCTATCTGTTTCCTTAAACCCTACAAGCTACAGCACTGTGAACTGGTTATATCCTTTGAAGATGGTAGCTATTGCCAATTTAGCTATTGTCCCATTCAAGGCAGCTCTTTCTCTCCTGGTTCTAGTAGTTGCTCCTTTTCCTCAATTCTTCATGCCAAGCAGTAATAGAAGCATTCCACCCTTACTGATCTTATGGTATTGCACTGTCCCTGTGGTTTTCCTTCTGCCTCACTAATTCCTTTGTTAGTAGCCCCTCTTATTTGGTTCTCATCTGTTGCCCAACTTGACTCTTCCATTTGTTTTCCTGCCAAGCACTCAATACCATAGTCATGCTATGGGCTTCACTTCCTGTGAACCTTTAGAACGTTCCCTTACTTTTATCTGATGTTTTGTGAAAAGAATAAATCCCTCCCAATTGGCCATTTCCTTGATGGCTAGCTTCGCAAAATACTTTTCAATACATAGTATTTATAACAGATTTTTTTTAAATTTATTTTTTTAGAGACAGAGTCTCACTTTGTCACCCTCAGTAGAGTGCTGTGGCATCATAGCTGACAGCAACCTCCAGCTCTTGGGCTTAGTTGATTCTCTTGCCTCAGCCTCCCAAGTAGATGGGACTATAGGTGCTCACCACAACGCCCAGCTATTTTTTTGTTGCAGTTTGGCCAGGGCCAGGTTCAAACCCGCCACCCTCAGTATATGGGGCCAGCACCCCTACTCACTGAGCCACAGGCACCACCCTATAACAGATTTTTTAAAACTTCCCTCATAGAATGCTCTGAAGTTCATGGTTTGGGGAGACTACATGTAAGGAGGAAGTGTATAAGGTATAGACACTGACAACTCCTCACCTACTCTACTTCAGAATTTTGGCTGGTTTAGGGGAAGATGCACATTTTGTGCCTTAAACGATCAACCAACTCGGGCAGTGCCTGTGGCTCAAAGGGGTAGGACATATGCAGGAGGTGGAGGGTTCAAACCCAGCCCCGGACAAAAACTGAAAAAAAAAAAAGATCAACCAACTCTTCAATATGTGAAGGTTTATATAGGTAATTTTATCTCTAACTAAGCCAATACAGATGATCGGTGTTGGTCAGTCTTGGCTTAATCTGCAAGATACTAACCCATTTCTGTAAGACATGGCCTACCTTGCAGATTTCCTTCTGGGCTTTGGGAATCCAGGGGTTCACATTCCCATAAGGCAGCAATTCCTTTAGGCCCTGGATGATCTGGGATTTGAGTGGTAAGGGTGGACCAATCTGCTCATTCAGGTAGAGCTCACAGATTCTGTTACCCAGCATGTGACGAAATACGGCATTCCCATTCTTTCTGTTGTTCATCAGGACACCGAGGAAATGGTGCAGGTCCTGCCAGAGGTCCAGAAGTTGAGTTTCCACTTTCAAATTCTGTTTTTTCAGGTGGCTCCGGAAAGGACTCCCTGCATAAGCATCAGCACACAAGGCCCAGTGGGTATACCCAATGCAGAGGCTTTGCTTGATGGCCCTCTTCATAGTTACCTGGGAGGAGTAATGTGTGAAGGGAGTGGCAATCCTCAGGTGAGTAGTGAACTTTGTCTCAAAGAGGCCCTCCATATGGAGGTGACGCTTAGCTTTCTTCTTCATGCTCAACTTCCTAGCAGAGTGACTACGCTTTTCAGGGAGATTGATTATTTTCTCCTTTGAAGAAGCCACTCTCAGGGGAGGCATTTGTTTAACCACCTTTTCTTGAGGCCTCCTCTCCTGTGGGGGCACAATGTTGGTATCTGGCTCACAGTCCATTTCCAGAAACCAAGAGCCAGGATTTATCAACTGCCACATCTTCCTCTTGGTTTTCCTGCTCGAGTACTCCTTCTGAAAGTGGTCATTCTTCTTGATGGTCATGTTCAGAGGGAGTCCCCCTGTGTGGGAGCAGCAAATACTGCACAGGCGAGTCTCATATTCCTGCATCAGACCTTGGCATGCTTCCTCCTTGGCCATGGCCATTTTGGCATGGGTGTAAAAGTTGGGAAGCCAATAACTCTGGAGTTTGAACAGAGCCACCTTCTGCATGTGGCTTAGGATCTCCCTCCTGGAGGTGGTCTGGTTAGGATGCCAGATGGAGAGGTTCAAGAGGGACTCTGGGAAAAATACAGAGATAAAAGGTGAAAATGATGTGATAGTGACAGGGAGGATGATGTTAGAGAGGTTTTTAAACTTTTCCAAGTGTCTTTGTGTATGCCATTTTATTAGTTCCTCATGCAATCCTAAAATGTGGACAGGTGAAACACACAGTGGACATATTTTAAGGGTTTGCTCAGTACAAAGGTACCCCTTGCCCTTATTACCTTCCTCCTTCCCCATAGAAATAAGCCATTTTATGTGATTCTCTGAATTACTTTTCAGACTACTGAATGTAATTGTGAAGAAAAGCAAAAGCACAAGAAAAGATGATTAAAAACAAGAGCCATCCATCTGAACAGGATTCCTCAGGGTCAGACATGACTGGAGGAAGATATTTGGACTGGATAATTTGAAGGAGTCCCTACTACCTCTGATTTTAATGTCATCAATTCTCAATTACCTATATGAAAAGAGGGGTGTGTAACTAATTCCAAACACTGGATCTTCCAGAACACGTTTGTATTTAGGTTAGAAATGCCTCCTCATTTAATGAACTAATATGAATAAATCTTATTCTCTAGAGAAGGGATTAGGAAACTCTTTATGTAAAGGGCCAGATGGTAAATATTTTGGGCTTGTAAATCACATACAACTTATGTTGTAGAATCTTCTTTTCCTCTATTTTTGTTTAGTCATTTAAAAATGTAAAAGCATTTTTAGCCCATAGGCCACATGTAATGCATATGGCTTGCAGACTATAGTTTGTTCTAGAGAATCCCAATTTAAAAAATAAAATGACTGTAAGTTGAGAAGATCAGGAGCTTTACGATTCCCCGATCTCAATTCCTTTTCCCTCCTTCCACCTGGCCCTCACTGGCAGGTAATATCTCAGGAAGGGGCAAGTACCAGCCTAAAGACAACTGATCTATTCCAACCTCTCCCTGGTTAGAGGCTGAGGTTCCCACTGGCATCCTTGATACATAGAAGATGGGGAGAGTGGACGTTATTAAATGCTGGATTGATTATTTTTGTTATCTCTCCAAAGGATTTTACTTCAAATATGCTTTATAATTCTTACTTATGTTCATTCTGCAGAGTGTCACCACCCTGGAACCCTCCTGCAGATGGGTGGCCTTCAGCATGAGAAGCAGGGAGAGATAGTAGTCTCTCACTTCTATATCTGTCTCATCTATGCTCAAGATCTTCTCAGCAAGGATCCAGAAATCCACCAAGTCTTCACCTAGAGGTCAGACAGGGAAGCTGTTTTACTGTTTCAGACACCACAGTTTGGGTTAAGACATCATCTCCAGAAAAGTTCTAATGCGGGGGAGATGGGAGGCCTGGGGAGACAGAACTTAATGCATAGGGATTGTTTGTGATTTTTTGTAGCTGTTTTAAATTAACTCTCACTGTAGGGAAAATTGCAAGACTGAGGATGGATCCTGAGACATTTGAATTTTGTCCAAAAACTTATCAGGGGAAAAAGAACATTTCCTATATCATAGACCCAGAGCAGCCTGTAGAAGGGCCCTTGAGCCAAAAGGTGACAAAGTCTCCATTCCCTTTATTACATACAACTTTGCCGGGCCAAACTCTGAGTGACAGTATTAAAGATAGCTTATCCAGTTGTCCCCTACCTGCTTTCTGGAGACCAGGATTGCAACCTTAAAATTAGGGCTTGTCCCTAGACCAAACAGTCCCAGTTTCCATGCTCCCCATATGCAGCAACTACTGGACCCACTAGAACAGGAAGCAGTAGTTCCTAATGCTTTTGCTACAGGGGTTTATTTATTTGTTCCTTGTCAATCTCCTTACCACTGTAGCAGCTACGTGGAGCAGGGACTTAAGGCTGCTGTTCACTTTTGTATCCCAACCTGTACAGTGGCTGCCACACAGTGGTGCTCAACAAATAGTGTTAGATGAATGAATGAATACATGAATGAACGAAAGGGAAGCTGATTGCTTTTACCACACCTATGCTAAGACGTCAGTTTTCAAAGACTTTTTTATCCACTGCATTATTATACATCATAATATTAATATTCACCATGGACACACATCACTGCCGACTGGGCCTAAGGGGCAACCTAGAAACTGTTAAGAACTAGCAAAGACCCCAGGAACAACCCCAACAACCCACCTGCACTGTTCTTGAGGTAGGAACAGAAGCGCCATATCCCTCTGACCCCGCCAATGCACTTCTCGAGTAGCCACTGGTCTGCCTTTTTCCATCTCATCATTTTGGCTGCCAGGAAAAGTTCATGGTAAGATAGAGAGAATGATGTTTCCCCTAGACCCCTCTCACAGCCTTGCATGCAGTCAGATCCCCATTTGTTGAGTGTGAGAGAGGAAAAATGCTGGCCAGTTAGCTGAAGTGGGTCCCAATTATGTGGTGCTTTTGAAGCTGGGCATCAGACTGTCTCCTGACATGTGTCAAGTGATGGAGGGGTGTGCACACACAATCAGCAGCTCAAAACACCCTCTAACCAAAGAAGATTCCCTTCTGCAATCCCCACAAGACACTGATTTTTCCCTCATTGTGCATTTTAATCCAACTTTACATACATTATATATACATACATGTGTACATATACATATATACACAAGTATGCACATATATATATTAATATTTGAAGGAGAGTAGTAGAGGATAGCAGGTGACTTGTTACAACATTTTATTCTACAAATGCTCCTGAATTTTAACTTTGCTAGCGGTTGGAACATGTTAATTTCCTTTGACTACCAAGCTAAAAGTTACTAATTCAACCCTAGATGGAAATTGTTCATTCATCCTTTTCAATAAATATTTGTAAAATATTTACAAATATTGAAAATATTTATTGGGGTAGGAACAGAATCACCATATCTTATCCTACAGTGGCAGCCACTGTGCAGGCTGGGATACAAAAGTGAACAGCAGAGGTGCTTCTGTTCCTACCTCAATAAATATTTTCATACCCACTAAGTTCCATGTACCATTCTGGGTGCTTGGGATACAGCAATAAACAGAACAAAAATCTCTGCCACCTCTCCCCCCAGCTTATATTCTTACAAAGGAGACAGAAAATAAACAAAAGCATAATAAATAAGTACATTATCAGGTAAGGTTGAAGGTTATAAGCACTACAGAAAAAAAGCAAAGAAAAGGTAGCATTGGGTAAAGGAAATTGGTACAGGAAGCAGGGATTGGATGAGTAGGCAAGATACAGTATTAAATAGGGTCATTAGAGCAGCCTTCATGAAGGAGGCGAGATTTATTCAAAGACTTGGGGAGGTGAGAGAGGGAGCCACATGCACATCTAAAGGAAGAACATTCCAGGCAGAGGAAAAAACAATGCAAAGCCCAGAAGTAGAAATGTGTCCTGCATGTTTGAGTAGCTGCAATGGAGGGAGGTGGGTGGGAGTAGAAGAGGTCAGAGGAGAAATGGGCCCAGGTCCCTAGGGACTTTAAGGTCACTGTAAGGGGGTTGGATTTCTCACTGAGAGGGGAATCATCGGTGGTGTTAGGGTGGAGAGGAGCAGGGCAGACAGAGAGCAGAGAAGTGACATGATCTGAATTATATGTTTTTCCCAATATTTTTGATGGGATAAGAAACATAACATAAAATTTACCATCTTAGCTATTTTACATGTACAATTCAGTGATATTGAATACATTAATACAACCATCACAACCATCCATCTCCAAATGTAACTCCATACCCATTAAACAATGTAACTCCCCAGTTTCCCCTCCTCCTAGCCTCAGGCCAACACTCCACTTCCTTTCTCTGTGATTTTGACTTACTTACAATAAGTATTTCATATAAGTGTAACCATACGGCATATCTTTTTGTGACTGGCTTAGTTAGCATAATGTCCTCAAGTTTCATTCGTGTTGGAGCATATGTCATAATTTCATTCTTAAGGCTGAATAATATTCCACTCTATGTCTGTACCACATTTTGCTTCTCTGTTTATCTGTTGATGGATACTTGGGCTGCATTCCCACTTTAGCTATTTTGAATAATGCCCCTATAAATATAGGTGTACATGTATCTCTTTGGGACTTTGCTTTCAATTCTTTTGAGTATATACCTCAAAGTTGAATTGCTGAGTCATATTTTAATTCTAGTTTTAATTTTGAAGGAAATGCCATTGTGTTTTCCACAGTAGCGATACCATTTCACAGTTCCCACAATAGTTTCACGTACTCCAAATCCTCATCAACATTTTTGATAGTACACATCTTTTTTTTTTTTTTTTTTTTTTT